TAAGTACCCCGCATTAAATATACAGCTAGGTCTGTGGTGGGAGAGTGGAGGGCGTGAGTTACTAGTTGGTCAATTTAGGGGCCAATAGGTGATTGCTTGAGCCTGGCGTCCGAAGTACCTGTACGACGAGGCACGTTCGACTATGCTTCAACCAGGGCTGGGTCGCTAGCCCTGGTGCCTGTCACTACTGTTCGGTCTAAGTTCCCCTCGATACTGGTAGGGTAATGGTCCTGAGTGCTGGTCACACTTAGGTAGGATAGTAGGGATAGGGGATGCGGTAGTTGTATTGACACGAGGATGGGAGGGGTGGTGGCCTCGACTCCTCAGAGCGACCACGGCTGACTGCTTCCGGCGATCAATGTGTGCATAGTAACTGGCCTCTACAACACCCTGGACTTAAAAAATAAAAATTGGCGAGTAGTGCAACTACTAGGACCTGAAACCACTAGTACTTGGCCCAGCTATCGGCGGCGGAAAAAAAAGTAGAGTAGCAACGTTTGTAGTCGGATGATTTTTTTGTTTTTTTGGCATAGACACACTGTACCGTTCTTTTGGGAATTCTTGGAAAATGATAACATCCCGCGTAGTCTTAAGTTAAGAACCCCGAAATCAGCACCCCATCGCAGAGAACAGAGGAGAACTCCCACTGTCAGTGATTGTAGGGGATTCTTGAGTGACTGTAGCCAAAATCCCCCAAAAGGAAAAAAAAGTGGTCTAAGTAGGTGGAGCACAACCCTTAATACCTTTTTTTTCTTTTTTTTCTTTTTTTTTGTAAAGCCAAACAATTCATTACTAAAACCAAAATGATTGAGGTCGGGGACCTCACAATCCGACCCGGAGTTATCCTGGCAGCCTCAGATAGTTTTGCTTACGATTCGGCAGAATCCTGGCAGCCTCAGCCAGTTTCGCTTACGGCAGAACCAGAACCAATCACGTTGCCATTTAAACAGTCCCGTATTCCATCCCCCTATTAAAAACTGCTGTTTACCTACAGTCCATTCCTTCATGTCCATTGTCTCATTAGACTAACCTACTTCAACAGCCTAAGGCGGTTACCGGGGTTCCGTGCAGTGGAGCGGCCGGGCTCCTTATTCCTGGGTCACTCTCTTTCTGGGCCACTGCGCCCTTTTTGAACCGAGTGCCCTGGTTCAGTGGTCTATTCTAATCTACCTAAAGGTCCTAAACACAACCGAACAATCAAACAGTCAGACACTCTCTAGCCTCGTAGGGAGTGTGCTGGTCCCTACCATGTTCCTACCTGACCTTCCCTCTTGTCCAATGTCCTACCTCCCACTTTTGTCTAATTCCCTGATCGACCTCGCACATTCCAAACCCCTTGTGCTGTGTACAGCTGCGAGCTGGCAGTTCTTGGGCCATGTCCTCAAGAACCAGTACAGCTGCTGTCTGCTGCCTCGCCCTGATTTCGCTCTCCTTCGCCAGACTGAGTCCACCCGAATGGCCCGAACCAGCCCTTTCGTGATCAGGCTTTTGATCTCTTTATCAGACAAAAGGCGTTTTGAAATCTAGCTCTGTTCCAATCTGCCTCTCACCAGATGTGAAATGTAAACTCCACCCTTTCTTTCCCTGGTCTTGTATTGGCAAAAAGCCCAGGAGGACCGACTGTTCATCCCGTCTGACACCTTCACCCCCCATCCTTTCCCAGTGATACTTCCACCAATCCCATATCCGCTTGGAAGCCGGGCATTCCCACCGGAGGTGGCGCGTAGATTCGAGGGGGCAGCTGCTGCATCGAGAGCATCGGAGATCCACCTCCATTCCTCTACTCAGGAACCCGATCGCCGATGGAGTCACCATAATTAGAGAAATCATCCAGAGGATACTAACCTGTTTTTTTCCATTTGGCAGGTTCATCAACGTTTTCCACATTTTCTCAAATTCTGCTTTCACCTCTGACAGATCAACTGAGAGGACAGATTGCCATTTGGATGCTGCTCTCTGCCGGGCCCATACGTTAAGTCGGCTGAATTTGGGCGCTCATGTAGTGGCCCATACGTTTCCTAGAATCGTGGCTTGTTTACGGGCACGACTTTACTAGGAAATACTGGTGGTTTACGGGCACATTTTTTGAGGGCCAAGCTAGAACATAGAGGCAGTTATTAGAACAAACTGGATGTACGGCATATGCAGCAAAGCAACTAAGGACATACTCAGAATAGGGCCTCCTTTTTTTGCCAGTCTATCTGGCCGCAGAAGCAGGCAGATTTTTCTGGGATGAGTGATAGTGTGAGATGCGTGAGATGAAGTGTACCAGCATGCGTGAGGGTCAGCAGTGTACTTCTACTGCGAAAAACTCTCACATGGGGTCAAACTTCAAAGGTTGGTTGATGTGTGCATGAGTCAGTTTGCAGACGGCTGATTTGCACTTCTGTCCGTGTCTGAGGGGTTGCTGGGGGTTGTTAGCTGGCACGAACCTCTAGGGGAAAGCTGTCCTCTAAAGTATGACACGTCTGGCTGGTCATGCATCCCCATCTGTCTTCTCCCGAGCATAACGCATGGTCAGTATAGCTGTATCTATGTGAGTTCCCGACAAGATGCAGCTAATATAGTAATGGCTATGCACGGGTAGAAGGTAGTTCCCTTCCTATCATATGGAACAATTCGGGGCGCTCCCATGGTGTGACCGCGATTGTATGCAAGCCCCGAGTGCATATTTGGTGCGGCATGTTCATCCGAGATTACTAGCGATTTCAACTTCATGTTCTCAAGCTGCAAAGATCAATTGGGTCCTGCCGCAAAGGTGTTGCTTCCTGTTGTTGCTGCCACTGCAGCGAAAAAGTGTGCAGCTCAGCCTGTCAGGGCCATATGTGGGCTTGGCATCATCCCCACCTCTCTCCAGTGCACTACTGTTATTCCCATTGTCCCTGCATTTCTGGAGCACCACAATGACCGTGCATACGTGCTAGTGTAATCCGCTCGTCTTCAGCGGTTCTGGCTTGCCCCAAGCAGAGCTTCACAGTGTCCACAGCAAGATTCTGCAGACCTGATGGGCCCTCCAACGAGACCTGGGGAAACCTGCAATAGTTCCGCTGAAGGAAATGTGCCCAACTGGCTGGGACACCTCAACTGGGGTCTCCCATGTTTGGCTACCCATATCTAGGACACATGATGTACGATGGCCTAAATCACCTGTCACCTGGAGGGTGTTCTGGCCTGCGCGCTATCTCTGGGATGATGATGAATCCTCTGCAGCAGTCTCAGGACTTCAACAGGCCTGGTCTGTACTGCATATTGGCTGCCCAGGATTTGGTCACCAAGAGATGTAGCTCGTGTGTCCTTGATGCTTAATGATCCTGGGTGTAAGCTGCCTATTGTCCTACTACGATTTGCTCCACCAAAATGTTGATGTACCCACCATGCATTCTGTGACAGGGGTATGGGTACTTGTTTGCCTCATGTCCTGCCATAATAATTATCGTCGTCTGGTGGGCTCTGTTATTTGGAGCCGCCTTAGGGATCTGTCATGGCAGACAAGATTCAGAGAAGCTCAAGCGCTCCTCCAAAAGGCTGATTGATTGCATGGTTTGGTAGGCTTCCTGCCAGTACTGTCTCCCTTCACACGAACAGGGCCTAGATACTCGTTACCCTGGGGTGCTGGGATTCGTCTCTCAGATGAGATGCTGGCGTTACCATTTTCCACCTGCCACATCATCATGGATGTGAGCCTATCTGTTGCTGATGTACCCAGTCATGATGATGGGGTGTTATGTCCAGGAGAAGAAGGTAGGGTGAGTCCTTTTCTTTTGCCCTCGTCAACGATACGCCTAAGAGTTGGGTCACAGTATCGTTAACCAGATTGTGACTGTGCACGTGTCTTATCTTGCACAAGTTGTATCCAGTATGGGTGAAGTCCTTGCAGTGGCATGTCCATTTGACTCCATCGAGTTGCCTGCTTATCAACTGAGCTGCACTAGAAATGAACGAGTAAATTTACTGCACTCATCTATTGCTTTCTGGATGCAGTGGACTCAGTCCTTATCAAGAGAGAGAGAGAGAGAGAGAGAGAGAGAGAGAGAGAGAGAGAGAGAGAGAGAGAGAGAGAGAGAGAGAGAGAGAGAGAGAGAGAGAGAG